GCTGACTCACGTAAGCTGTGAAGTTTAATTCAGTGTTTTGCCAAAACATTTATTTGGCTAATGTGTGCGCACTTACTGTTCGGGAACACAGGTTCGAATGTTGCCCCTTGTGTAAATATTACAGCTGATCCCTCGTCTAAGGTATTTTGCTGCATATCTGAATATATTTCACGCCTCAGAATTAATTCTGAATCGGACATGGGAGAGAAGTCCCGTGATTTGCCAGAGTCTGAAAGCACAGCGGCGTTAATAATGACAAACAGATATAATTGTTGTTCTGTGATGATAATGTAGTTAATACTATAATTATAGTTCTCGCATCATTGACCTTGTTATCAGCAAAGAGAGATTATGTAGAAGTATAAATATGTACTAACTAAGAGTAAGTGGAAAGTACTAGTGTCACATCCAATCAGACAACGCCATATTTATCTATGGCATTTCGAGAGGTAAGTATGTATTCTCGACAGAAAAATCCCTGTCATGATTTCATTCAGCTTCTTGAATTGAGTTAAGAAGATGGCCGTCTTCTGGGGTTATTTCCACCATAACTTGAATTAATATTACAGTTTTGCTACAGACATCGCTCGACTTTGGCCTTCGTCTAATGTAATTTATTACAAAAAAGCTAGTAAAAAAATTAAAGATAGTTTTATTTTAAGTTGGCAATAATGTTAGTACTTTAATGTGTGTATTATCTAAGTCAGTGGTTCAGTTCTTAGTACATTTGGTCAAAGGGTTTAGAAGTTTTTCCTATTATTGAATATTTGGCCTTGAGCCACAGTTGCGTCACCCATTTTCATGATGGACTGACGCTATCTTCAGATCAGTGCTGAGTCTTCAGTTGTTCCAGATATGCTGATGGATTTGCTCCATAATCTCAGTATTTGCTGAATGCACATCTTCGACAACAATCGTCCACCCTCTGAATTTTCTTACGTGTTTGTAAATCTTATCTTGGCTCACAACAATGGGCATTCTTCTATAAGATTCACTAGTTTTCGTTACCTCTGATTACAAAATATAGTTTGTAGTTATTCTTTGATTAATTTTAACAAAGCGTAGTGGTAACTATATGTACCACCTGCCTTAATATTCATTAACCCCGAATTCTGACCACAGAGCGTATGGTTTTCAGAATAAGCCGATTGATTGTTTCTCAAAACTTTGCAAAATCATCGAAGCTTTGGATCGTTGCGTCATTCCATTTGTTTCTGATGATGCAGTTTTTTTTTGTACGTTGTTTATCTCATGCTGCTCACCTTCGATAACAAGAAAGCCTTCAGATTGTTGACAGAGGGCTCGAATTCTGAGTATTGCAGCTCTGAGAATGTTGAACAATGTGTCACGGGCAGCCAGCAAAGCGTAGGACGGATTTTTATCGACGCCTTAGTGTGTCGTGTTGATACTCTTGTCTTTGAGATGCAGAACTGCTGTATAAGATGGCGTAGAAGGGGCTACGTTGGGAAGATCCCGGCGTGTTATCTGTACATCCCGATAAATAAAATAGTTGACCTATCGCTGGGATAAGTCTGTTATCAAGATAAGCGATTTCGTAGTGATAAACATAATCCATTCGTGTGTTGTTGTATTTTAAGTAATTCAATGGTGTTGAGATATTTTCGTGTGATTATTGCAGTAGAATGAAACTGTTATCGAGCAGTCTCGCTGTGTGTTCAGAAAGGAGGGAGAAATGTCCTGTGAGAATGTAACAAGTGTGATTGGTACTAACGGAGAAATTAGACCAGAAAGGACCAACCAACACTGGACACGATTGTTAGCCATTTTCGTCAGTGTGCAGACCCGGAATGTATGTTTTATCAGTCATTGTGGGCGTTTTACAAGATATCTCTCCGCCAAAATTCTGTTTCTTTGTCCCAGTGATGTTAAAATCAGACAAAGGTTTTCCTGTACTGAAAGATACTCTGATCATTTTTCTGTTGAACAGGAAAAGTGTTCTCGAATTTCAATGTTAATCTTATTCGTGCGGTGAGTTCGAAGATGGCTGCCGTCTGGGTTGTATCGTCGTGATAGAAGTTTACTACCGTGTCAGAGGTCCTTGCTGCCTCAATCATCAGGTGTCCGGTGTAACCCCGAGGAACTGTTCGTTTTAATATGTTTATCCCATTACTGTTTCCACGGTCCTTGCTTGTTAAATGAAGCTAATTCAGTCCGTGTGTTATCGCAGGTGTTGGTAAGCATCGTAGCAGGACTCAGTCTCGTGGCTTCGGGCATGAGTCTAGGTTTCCCTGCCATTTCATTGCATCAACTCGAAGCAGAAGGCCTGTCGGAAGACGATGCTTCATGGTTCGGTGAGGAAATGCAGATCATAGATAATTTTGCGTTTCGCAAAAGAAAATTGAAAACTGGTTTCTAATGTCCGTAAACAGCGTCGATCTGGACCAAACTTGGTAGACCAACATTAAATTTTATCAGCATTCCGATGTTTCATCAGAAAGAATTGTTGACGTCATCATAATTCTGTGATAGGTTCACCGAAACCTGTAATTAAGACAAAGATTCAACAAAGAATTCGATCTACGCGCTGCTCACATGCTACAAAATTTTGTGGGGTATTTTATGGGACACGCGTTACACTACGAAGAGGGAAAGTCTCTATTTGTATAATAAACGTTCAGTTTGCGCGTGATTTTATCTGTTACAGCCAGCATCCTGTCCGTGTCGCAAATATTTGGGTGTCTGCTGTGTGGTCCAGTACTGGACGCATTCGGTCGCAAGAGAACGCTGATTTTCACATCGCTTCCGTTCGTCGTTGGCTGGGCTGTTCTGTGCGCTACGCCGCAACCAGCACAACTGGGTCTTTTGTTACTTGGACGAGTTATCACGGGCGTAGCATGTGGCATTGCGAGTATTCCCGCAACTGTTTACGTCGGCGAGATGGCCAGCGACAGACTCAGGGGGATGCTGGTCACGTGGCCATCCGTGTTTATGTCTGCTGGGATCCTGTTGGTGTATTTGCTGGGCTGGGGACTCAGAGACGACTGGCGTCTCGTGTCGGGCATAGCCATCGCTTTCCCACTTGTCGCCTCCGTGTTGGTCACCCTGTATTTGAAAGAAACGCCCAGCTGGTTGCTCTCAAGGGGACGAGGAGACGAGGCTGAGGAATCCTTCAGGTGGATACGAGAAGTCGGCAGTCGCGGCGAGATGCCGGAAGACATCCGACAAGAATTTCAGGATTTACTCGAGGCTGCTAAGAAAAAGGCCGATATTCACGATGAAATTCCTCAGATATCGACGTTATCCAATATCATGGACGATAAACCGACGTTTTCGACCAAGAAGCGCGAATCAAGATTCCAGAAGGCTTGGAGGCAGGCGATGACCTTGGGGAGTCCGGACGTCTGGAAGCCTCTGGTCATCCACAACTTTTACTTCTTTTTCATGCAGTTTGGAGGGATCCAGGTCGTGTCCTCGTACGCTGTGGACATCATGGAGTCTGCGGGCGTCTCCATGGACCCTTACGGCGCCGCGGCGCTGCTGGGTGGCGTGCAGTTGGCGGGTGGCGTCGGGGCCAGTTTTGCCTTTAGCTTGTAAGTGGCGCTTGTAATTCTCCTTCCCTTCGTACTTCTTACGGGCTTTGTTCATCTTTCCGTTTGTAGGAGTTATGTACTGGAGACACGAACGGCATTTTAAAAAAAAAAATTATCGCGAAAATTAAAGGGCATTTGATAGCTGGAAATAACAATATAGTTGCAGCATTTACTAAATATATACAAAAATTTAAATTTACAAAAATTTCCGTATTCTGGGTTCTTGTATCCGGTAGCCTGGAGGAGGTTTGCCGACATTTCGGAGAAGTTTGCTGCCTCCTACATCAGGGATTAGCACCTCTGAAACGTCGGTGAACGACGCAACAATCCATAAGTCTGCCGTCTTCATACCATGGTCACTGTGTCCTTGTCGCAGGTGCGGTCGGCGCGTCGTTTCGATGGTGTCGGGGTTAGGAATGGCCGTCACTATGGTCGGACTGGGAATTTACCTCGAAGTGGACGACGGAAGCTCGGAACTCTCGTGGCTGCCACTCGTACTAATTCTGGGCTACATAGTAAGTTCAGGACAAAGTTCTTCAAGGTATTACTCAGACGCAAGGCGTCATACCGATTTTCCCGTCGTGTGGGTCTGATATCGAGAGATCGCTGTGGTAACCTGCTATTGAGCGTCCTCGTGCACAAAGATCCACAGGTGGAAAATGAATATGTCGTCTCAGTTTCATAAGAAAACGGGTGGAAATTAGTCCAAGTTCGTAAGCACGACGCCTTGAAGGCGTATATGGGGTGTGGAGGTAAAGCTCCTCTGAATCTAGATCTCGACACCAAATTATGAGAATTCCGGTCAGTGACAGGACGTTTCGCTCTGAATCTAGATCTCGACACCAAATTACAAGAATTCCGGTCAGTGACACGACGTTTCGCTTTATGTGTGTGTGTGAAGGACCCAAAATGCCGGAAGTCGTGTCAGCAGACTGCAGCTTGCTACTTTACCGTCTGAGCCGTATCGGCTGTTGTTTTTATCTTGTGTTATTCTCGAAAGATGTCGTGCAGAACGCTGCCTGGGGGGTTGGGGAGACTTTCCATTGGTAGAATTAACGAGTTTGGAAGGAAATAAATAATTGTACTTGTTTCCAGGCGTTCGCTAACGTCGGGTTCAATCTGATAGCTTGGGGGTTGCTGGGAGAGCTGTACCCTACCAAAGTAGCGGGTCTGGCCGGGGGAGTCACCACTTGCCTCGCCAACCTGATGGGGTTCGCGGCCATCAAGCTGTACCCCGCGTTCCAGGACTTCCTGAGGGGGGACAGTGGCACTTCCGGCGGGGCGTTCTCCTTCTTCGGGGCCGTGGCCGGTGCCGGGACCTTGTTCGTGTTCCTGTTCCTTCCGGAGACGCTGAAGAAATCGCTCGAGCAGATTGGCGAGGAATTCCGCCAGCCTTGTGGCGTCAGGACTTTGTGTTGCTGACCTCATCTTAATTGGACCACTCGTGAGAATCGAAGGGTGAATTGTAAAATTGTGGTGGAATGGCGATTGCCGTGTTCATAAAAGACCGCCACTGGACCCTGTTCTGAGCTGTTGTACATTCTCGCAACATGATTATCTAAGACGCATTTTTTAATATTATCCTCCGAGGTCTCCCAAGTGATTTCTTCCCTTCAGATTTCCTATCCCAAGGCTTCTCACCTTTCCCACGCGTGCTACATGCCCGCCCATCTCATCCTCCTTGATGTATCTTCATGATTTTAATCTTGAAGGGCAGATAAAATGGAGCTCAGTTCCACGTTGAAACCCGAAGGTCCATTTCCGTTTTGAAAAAAGCCTACTAGTGTACTGTGCCGTGTCCATTTTAATATTATACTCCGCATCAGATGGCCTGCTTCCTTTTGCGTTACTACGCATTTATTATTTCTCGTATGCGTGCTACATATCGCAGCCCATAATTATCCGGAAAGTGTTAGGCAAAGAGGATTTATCTCCATTCAAAGATGACATCAGGATAGTAACGTGAAGGCAAATGTCTTCTGGGATGTTGCGCAGTTAATTCTCATAACAATTGACCAACGTTTCAGAGGTTCTTACTGCCTCCATCTTCAAAGTACACGGCGCAACTTCCCACAAGACCGCCATTTTCATGTTCGCTGTCGTCGAAGCCTCAAATTGTACGTGACCTAATTATTTTCCAATCGTCAGGTGTCACTGCACAGGAAATTGTGTCGCAGATGAAGAGTCTTAGATCTTAATTGGACTACGACATGTCTGTTTGATTATGTGGGGTATTATGACGTCAAAGTCGGACCATTTGTGTGGTTATTAGGTCGAAAGAAGGTACAGTCTCTTCCAGTCGGAGATTCGGAGGACGCCAAGTCTGTAGTCTCAGTTTGTAACCATCGTCGACCGCTCTTTTTATCAAAAGTTTTACGTCGCCGAAGATAATACAGAAGAAAGGAATTTTAATTTGAATAATATCGAGATGTCATTCAGAGAGGTAAATATGATGTTACAATTTAAAAATATTATTGTATTATTTTTATGATAATTCCTTTCTTACGATTTTTTTATTATAAAAATGGTCATAACCGTAGTGTATGGATGGGTAAATAGATGAATGAAGGAACGGATAAACGAGTCAGGATTTATCGTGTTTGACGACGATCTGTCAATTGCATTGGTTACACAATTTTTCCGAATCGTCTCTCGATTTACACTTCATATACAGTGTGTCCCATAAGTCCACAGGGATAGGGATACTTGATTATGTTGAAAAATTCTGGGAAATACAAAGACGGAAACATCTATAGAAATCATTAGGTTCCAGTCTCAAGTGTTGGGATGTTGTCACGACAGCGAAAGGGGAATGTATTTCCAGAGTAGGGGGAAAGCGGTCCGGAAGAGGAGACAGGCACTGCAGTAAACAGGAAGTGAACAAAACGAGGGAAACCGGACCGAGTAGCGAACTGAGAGAAAAATTCAGCATTCTGGGCGGGGGGTGGGGTGGGGGTGGGGGTTGCTAGGATTCTGATGTACCATAGAAACAGAAGAGAAGTGTTTCGTAAAAAAGAAATGCTGTTCGCCGCTGACCTCTGACGCTGCTTGCAGATCCTCGTGAGCTTCGTCTCCTCCGCGACTCTGCTGTCGGCTGGTATGAACCTCGGATTCTCTGCTGTCGCATTGCCGCATATGCAGGACCCTGCAGGTACCGACAGACTGACGGTCGAGGAGGGCTCCTGGTTCGGTACGTACAGACACGTTTCCCGGCAACGAGAGTAGAAACAAATGAATGTCGATGGGGATTTGGGTTCTCGCGAAAGTGACTGTCTTCTGTGTTATTTCGCCGTGTAATCTGGTAGAAATTGACCTACGTTTCAGACGTACATGTGCCATCATTATCGCTCTGGTGATGGAAGCAATAACCACCTCCGAAGCGACGGTAAATTTGTATCATACTAGACGGCGTAGTATCCCAGAAGACAAGTCATGTATTTGTGGATGTTGGTTTGCTTCGTAATAACACTGTGGACTCGTAGATACGTAAAATCTTTTCGAAGAAGCGTATTTATTACCTGTATCATCTGAGCACCGACATGGACACATTCACCGCCAGAAAATCATAACTCATACAGCATCAGTTCACAGTTGTGCTTATGAAAGTGATTTTACTCCAGCAAGTACTGGGTTCATCTCGACCCTGGCGGGCTGTCTCACCTGTGGGCCTCTGCTGGACAAACTCGGGCGCAAAAGAACGCTTCTCGTGATCAACACACCCTTCGTCTTGGGCTGGCTGCTCATGTGGACTGCCCCGAAACCAGCTCCTGCCGCCTTCCTCTACTTCGCTCGTTTGCTGAACGGATTGGGCGCTGGCATGGTACGTCCTGGTTTCATCTACGATCACACGCAACTAAAAATTACAACAACAAAAGTGCAAGATAGTTTTATGGAGAATTAGAGCTTGTATTCGATCAGCTTAGTAAATATCACGCTTCGAATGCCAAAATTTGTCGGGAGGATATTTTCTGGTGCCAGGGGGTTAATTACCTTTTCCATGTCCGTCCCTCGGTCACAACTCGAAAACCGCTGAGCGAATTTTCATGGCATCTGTTACCTTGGACATATTCCCGTTTTGATTTAAATCGGCCAACGGTAACGAACACGGAGACTTACGTTTGTTTCTACAAGCGGTAACTGAGTGAGTATTCCCCAGCCGAGAAATCCCCATTTAACCGTGTAAATACGTGGGGGAATCCTCCTGATGACATCATGAGGCAACTGGACACATTTTCCACCAGATTACTCTGACGTCACTGGTGCCATTTGCAAGAATTTAGTCCTGACGATCGTTTAAGAATTCCTGAGCTTTTCCTTTCTTTCTTTAATCCTGACTCTGGTTCGTCGTTCGTGATTGATCTCCAATTTTCAGGTCAGTATCCCAGCTACGATATACATCGCTGAGATGGCAACTAGCCACACGCGCTGTTTGCTCGTCACTTGGCCCTCCCTGGCGGTCTCTGTCGGGATCCTGGCCATGTACGCCCTCGGGTTGGTTATCCAGGACTGGCGTACGATCGCCGCCATAAGCGCCTCTGTCCCGGTGATCACAGCTCTTTCCAACCTCGTGTTCATCAGAGAATCTCCGATATGGCTCTTGGCTCAAGGACGCGACGAAGAGGCCGAAACGTCTTTCGAGTGGATACGACACGTCAAGTACAAGGCGATGTCAAAAGAACTTCGCGCCGAGTTCCAGACGTTTGTCAAAAACAGCAAGAAACTGAAACGAAGTGTCAAATCGGCGCGTCCAGGTCTCGGCGATGGATCGGGCGAGGATGTGCCGTTGTGTCGACGCGCTGGGACGAAGTACGGCACTCCGGAAGTCGCGGTAATCAAGGGAAGGCGGAAGAATGTCTTCAGAGTCGTCTTCTCTGCTCTGAGGCGTTCGGATGTCTGGAAACCCCTCGTGATCCTCAACTCCTACTTCTTCTTCATGCAGTTTTCTGGTATTCCGGTCCTCATCGCCTACGCAGTCAATATCATGATCAGCGAAGGAGTTGCCCTGGAGCCCTACCTGGCAACACTGCTCCTAGGTGTTGTCAAATTCGTGTTCGAAATTGCCGCTGGATTTGTTCAGAACAGGCAAGTGCGTCTCAAACATTGGCGCGAAACTTCCGTAATTTTCAAATTTACATTGGGTTTTGGCTCTCACGAAGATCGGTTGTCAGGCCACGAATTTGGAGGCAAATAACCGAAATAAAATTGAAGATGTGGGCGCAAAAAGGGGATAAATCACGTTTCTGGTTGGATTTGAGTCTCTTCTGGGCTGTATCGCCGTGTAGTCTGGTATTAGGGCGATGAGCGCTCACCATCCTGATGATGGAGGCAGCAAGGACCTTCCACCAGACTACAGAAGACAGCCATCTTCATGTTACTAATTTTTAAGACGTTTTTCCTTCTTTCCTAGATGTGGCAGACGACCGCTGTCGGTAGGTTCGGGGTTAGGAATGGCTGTTTGCATGTTGGGGCTAGGGGTGTACAACCAGGTGATCGTGGACCCCGACATGAGGCACAGACTCGATTGGGTGCCACTCCTTCTGATGCTGGGCTACGTCGTAAGTAGAAGTGTTGTACAGTACCGTTATTTTATAGTGGCCAGCAGCCTGCGCAGTGGAGGGGGGGATTCATTGCGCACTGATGACATTATCGCTTTGTTTAAACTTTGTTCGTGGTTTTATGAACACTGTTTTACGACGTCCATTGACTTTTTAAATCAGAGATTCTGCATTTTGCTGACGTACTGCGTTTACTCGTTGTCAAGGAGACGCTTTCAGTTTTCGTTTTGAATGTAAAATTCTGTTTGCGTGTCCCGACGATGGTACATCTTTTAACTCTGTTCGTCGCCGAAGGTCTCGGCTGCCATGGGTTTCCTTCTCATCCCGTGGGCGATGCTGGGAGAAGTTTTCCCGGCGACAGTGACGGGGCTCGCCTGTGGCATCACGACGTGTGCGGGGAACTTCTTCGGGTTCGCCTCGATCAAGCTGTTCCCAACGTTCGTCGTGCTTCTGGGCGGGAGTGCCAACAGCCAAGCCATAAACTGCACCGAGGGCGTGTTCTACCTGCACGGAGGCATCACTGCCGTTGCTGTGCTGTTCATTTACTTGTATCTTCCCGAAACGTTCAGAAAAACACTTAAGGAAATTTCAGACGGTTTTTTAGAACCTAGAAAAAGGAAACTGTGTTCTATTTGAACAGTTTCGGAACCTCGTGTGTGTGCCTGTCTTCTGAGATGTTGCACCGTGAAGTTGAGAGATGTTTCAGATGTACTTGGTGCCTCCATCATCAGGGCGACGACCTGACAGAGCAGGAGACGCTCTGATGAAACGTCGGTTAATTTCTACAAGACTACACGATGCAACATCCAAGTAGTCAGTCATCTTCATGACTCACACTGTCGTGATTTCTTTTTTGGTAAACCTTTGAAAAAATTGTGATTAATTAATGATGACAGATATTTTTTTAACTATGACTATTTAACTGATTAATAGTTTCAAGTTTTTCAACTACGAAGATTCTTATCTACATTTTGAACGAGTTATGACCACATAATGTGTTGGCCTAACACGCTTATGTGAAATAAATAGAAGAATGAATATATGAAAGAA